CACGGCACTCTACCCAGGGGGACAGCTTGAGGCTCTGTCTCAAAAAAAAAAAACATCGCATCTTAATACAAGTTATTCAATTCATTTGAATTTAGTTTTTCCTTACAAAACCCACACTCATTCATTAGAGTCATGTTTATCTGCTTAACAGTTTAGGGAACAATTTGGCAATTTTGTGGTTTTTGAGATTATCGTTCTCTTAAAGTGCCAGTATTTTAAAATAGTGTTCTTGTAATTTTACACGCTTTTGTGATGGAGTGCTGTTTTGTTATATAATTTTGACTTGGATTCTTTCCATTTGCATTTGTTTATGTAATTTCAGGAGGAATACTGAACATCTGAGTCCTGGATTATACTAATAAACTAATAATTGCAGAGGTTTTTTTAAAAAAAAAAATACCTTACCGAAACTGGGTTACGGATGATGAGAATGGTGAAAATTTCCGGCATGGATGCAAATGACACATGGCCCAGAAACACTGCTCTGTTGACAAGACACAGTAAACAAAATGAACAGGATAATGAAGTTCAGCCTCCTTGCCTAACTCCCAACTGTGACCCTCAAAAGAGAATGTGCAAGGATCCCTAGAACATTGTTTCTTCCCTCCTATATCTCCCCATTCTCTCTCTGCCTCTCCTTCTCCTTCATACTTTTCATTTTTCTCTCTGCCCTAGTGAATTTCCAAACTTAGCTGTCACATCCCCCCCACATTAGCTGTCACATCCTTGCCCCCAAACCACGAGAGGTACACTTAAAGGTAGCAGCAATCCTATAAGTAGACTGACAGGCCTTAAGGCAAACACAAAGGAGCACAAGTCTATGCCACCAACTCCACAGACAGATGCTCCTTCCTCTGCTCTGCTATCACCAATCCTCAAACCCCTCTCCATCCACAAAGCCAAGGCCAGGCAGGTCATACTTGGACATTTCCTTCTTTGTCCTGAACAGGACAACTCATGAACACCAGCTAAGCTCTCCTTACATGGAAGGTGAACATAAGTCTGCACTGTGGTCCCTGTGCTCATGGGCAGAGAGGGGTGCACATGTCCACCTCCTTCTCTCTCTGGATTCAAAAGGGTGGGAGGTCAGGCCTTCTCCTCTTCAGTACTTTCCTCCCAGAAAGACACCCTGTGCCTAAGGAGTCAGGCCTTTGAGGTCCACCACTTCACTCTGCCTATATGTATTCCTTCCCTCTCTCCCTGCAGAAATAACACCTCCCACCTGGGCGGTGCCTTTGGCTCAAGGAGTAAGGGCACCAGCCCCATATACTGGAGATGGCAGGTTCAAACCTGCCCCAGCCAAAAACTGAAAAAAAACCAAAAAAACAAAAAAACACACACCTCCTACCTGGGACTCTACAGCAGTGGTTCTGTTACAAATGGAACAAAAGCGTAGTGACCCACAGGTTGAGAACCACTGCTCTAGAGCAGGTGTCCTCAAACTATGGCCTGTGGGCCACAGGCAGCCACTGGCCTAGGACTCTTATCTGGCCCGCCGGGTGTTTTTGTTATCGCTGCCTGTCCTGCTTAGCAGCCGACTCATCCTGGGGCCTGCAGTCTGGCCCTCCAACAGTCTAAGGGACAGTGAACTGGCCCCCTGTTTAAAAAGTTTGAGGACCCCTGCTCTAAAGGGTCCCCTGGGTCCCTTCCCACTGTAACATTCTATAGAACATGACTCAGCCACACCCACTTGGACAAGCATCTCTCTTCCCTTGGAAGATGGCTCACTTTTCAATGTTCCAAGACATGTGAGAAAACATGGAACTAGCCTAGGCCTCTGACTTTCCAGATGGGTTCCTGCAAAGGGAACTGTCTTCTAAGCTCCTGCCCGCCCCACATGCCAAGCTGGTTCCGGCCTGATGTTGCCCATGGCACTGATGTGAGGACACAGAGAGGGTTGCGGGGGCAAAGATGCCAGTGTACACTGCCACTAGCTATGTCCTCTAAGCTCATCAGAGCTCTCCCTCTTGGCATGTAGTGGATCTCCCTAGGCCAAAATGAATGATTCCTTCTTTCTGGGTAATCTTGGCTTTGTGCCCTTCACCAGATCTCAAAAGACTCTCCTCCTGCCCCATGGAAACCCAGAATCCCCACTCCTCATTAGTAATCACCGTCCTGCGTACTCAAGTAAGAGTACACAGGCGAGGCCCTGAGCCACACATGACCACCAGGGACAGTAGTCCAGTTCTAAGCCTACTACTTGATTGCTTGGGACCTGGACACAACAAGGGAAGGGAGCAGGGCAGCACTGTATGTTACATTAGTTGGGCCGGGCTTGCATAGGTGGCCTCAAGGGACAGTCTGGCTGCAGGTCCCACAAGGCCAGACTTCTGACCTAGAAAGACTGACTGTCTCTGCACTGGCCACCACAGCCACCAATGGCCTCAGAAACCCTGGGACTGAAACTGGTCCTTCACTGGGGTGCCCCATGGACAAAGAGATCTCAGTCAACCATACCCATTGCTGATAAGGGAAGGAGCAGCAGGCAAACTATCCACTACCCTATAAGGAACTCCCTGCCCCAACCTTCAGCTAGTCTTGCCCAGACATGGCTGGGCTTCCTTTATAGGACCCGCCAGGCATGCTGAGTGTCTACTTCAGCCTGCAGCCTGTCTCTGGTGGCCCCATGGCCTGATTTGCCATGGGACATGCTTCCTCCACACCCCCAGAAAGCTCTGACCTGTCTATGGCCCTGTCTCCTGGTACCCTCCCCCCATCAGGCATGCACTCCCAGACCACTCCTACCCGAGAAGCCCCAGGCAGGGCTTTGTGAGATGGCCAAACAAGTTCCTCTGGATGGTGGTATTGCTCCACAAATGCCCACCTGCCCTAACCACAAGGAAGGGCAGGTAGGCATTTGATGTACCTGTCACACTGGACCCTGTTATAACTAGGACTTTATATCCCAGCCTCAAGACCAGGTCTGTTTCAAAGAAAAGAAAGGATGAAGAAAAACAGAAACTAAAGAAAAGAGACATAATAAATAAATGGTGTTCCACATGCTTCCAGGAAAACATGGGCAACCCAAGCATTTGTTCCAGGGCAAATGGAGAGTATCTAATTGGATGTTAACTCTGCACACGTACAAAGGCAAGGGACATGTATTTTGAGAAAGCAGCTAAGTGCAAGACTTTATTACATAAAAGTCTGATGGGGTCAGAGAGAAGGCCAAAAGCAGACACTTCTACATTTTCATGCATTTGCACAGAACACTGGAGGCATACAGACAGGAGTAAATCATATCTGCTTCTCACTTTAGTGAGGGCAAGAGGGATGGGAGGAGAAAAGACAACTTGAGAGTGAACATCATACAATGTTAAAGACTATTGCTTTAACTGGGTGAAACTGCATCCAAAGTGGCATTTCCAAAGTAGTTACAGGAGAAAAAAATAAAAAAGGAATATGGAAACATACATGCTCACAAATTCAAAGAAGGAAGTCAGTGTGTATGTATTCATCCACAAATGCATGCATGAGTGAATGAGTGGGGGCTGAGTAGAAAGCATAGCCATACTTTCAAGTAAAGCTTCCGAAAAGGGGCTGCAAGCTCAGCGCCTGTGGCTCAAGAGGCTAAGGCGCCAGCCACATACACCTAAGGTGGTGGGTTCGAATTCAGCCCGGACCCGCCAAACAACAATAATGGCTGCAACCAAAAAATAGCCGGGCGTTGTGGTGGGCGCCTGTGGTCCCAGCTACTTGGGAAGCTGAGGCAGGAGACTCGCTTGAGCCCAGGAGTTGGAGGTTGCTGTGAGCAGTGAAGCCATGGCACTCTGCCCAGGGCGACAGTTTGAGGCTCTGTCTCAAAAATAAAAAAAATAAAAAATAAAAAGAAAAGGGGCTGCAGAACCAAAAGCTGTCATCAGGGTTATCTACCTCTGTGGAACCACTAGTGCCTTCTAATGACTCTTGGAACTCCGACTCGTGCTACTCAACAGGGAGAGACTGATTGTAGGTGAGACCATTGTAGGTGACCCAGGGTTACATCTTCCCAGTCTTCTCCCCTACATGGCCCTTGTCAAATCCTGCTGCTCCCATCATGTCATACTACCCCATTCAGGTGAGCTCCTAGACAGTTTGATCTTTCAATGTGTTTGCCTTGGCTCCTCGTGGATCAGGTACCCTGGATCCAGGTACTCAGCTCACTTCAGGCTTTGGGTCAATATCCCCTTAGGAGTAATCATTCTTCTACTCAAGAGGAATCATAATCCTACCCACAGATATATCTAGAGAACTGGATATCTCATTATAGTATATTTGGCCAAAAAAGTTATGATGGGAGGACATATCAATACACCTCTTTTTTTTTTGGTGAGACAATCTTACTCTGTTACATGGGCTTAATCTTAAACCCTTGGGCTCAAGCAGTCCTCCTCCCTCTGCCTCCCAAGTAGCTAGGACTACAGGCATGCACCACCATGCTCTACTGATTTTTCTATTTTTTGTAGAGATGGGTTGTCACTTTGGCTCAGGCTGATCTAAAAATTCTGTCCTCAAGTAATTTGCCTGCATTGGCCTTCCAAAGTTCTAGGATTAAAATCATGAGCCATCTATCCTGGTGGCCCTATGTATTTCCTATGATGAACATTTTTGCATATATAGTCTACTGTCTGAGAACAAAGAACACCTTTCTCTCACCACACCAACAGAATACACCCCCCTCCTAAGGCTTTAATCAATTTTGAGCATTTCTTGGCATTCCTTGACATCTGTAAAGGATGGAGAAAGAGACATGGTATAAAAATTGGTTGACATTTCAGGAGCAATGGTGCCATCAAGTGTAAACTTTTTAAGTATGGCTTCTAGTCTCTCTCTGTGTCTAGACATAGGGAGGCTTCTGAGAGAAGGGTAGGTGTGGGAAACTTAGGGAACTTTGGGGCTAGACTTGCCCACCCCATGGTGTGACTCCAGGTTCAAAGAGAAAGAGATGGAGCCAGGGTGGGCTACCAAGGTGCCCTGGGCTTCTAGGCTGGGCAGGCCATGGTGTTTAGGCCTCAGTGGCCAGCGCAAAACACATCTGGAGCTGAAGCTATGCAGGATGGCCGGATGCAGTGGCTCACACCTGTAATCCTAGCACTCTGGGAGGCTAAGGTGGGTGGATTGCCTTACCTCATAGGTTCAAGACCAACCTGAGCCAGTGCAAGACCTCATCTCTTAAAAAGCTGGGCATTGTGGTGGGAGCCTGTAGTCCCACTTACTTGCGAGGCTAAGGCAAGAGAATTGTTTGAGCCTAAGAGTTTGCTGTGAGCTATGACACTACAGCACTCTACCAAGGTGACAAAGTGAGACTCTGTCTCAAAAACAAAAAATGAAGCTACTGTAGGGAATTTGCCTCTGGATCTTTGCTCTTGGTGCAGTGGCAAGGTTGGGGGAAGAAGATCTCTTTGGGAATCAGGGCCACTGGGAAACTGAGACCTAAAGGTCCATCTGGAAAACCTAGATTCAACCAAGTAAAGAGAAGGGGCCAGCAGCCACAATGTTAGGGACTGTTGTTTGTAGAGAGAATGAATATCCTAATTACTGGGTACTAGAACAAGACAAGGAACGGTAACAGAGGTACATGGCAGATCAAGTTTTTTTGTTTATATTTTTGTTTTTTGTCGCCCTTGGTAGAGTGTTGTGGTGTCACAGCTCACAGCAACCTCCAGCTCTTGGGCTTAGGTGATTCTTTTGCCTCAGCCTCCTGAGTAGTTGGGACTACAGGTACCAGCCACAACGCCCAACTATTGTTTTTTCTTTGTTGTTGCAGTTTGGCCAGGGCCTGGCTTGAACCTGCCACCCTCGGTATATGGGGCCTGTGCCCTATTCACTGAGCCACAGGCACTGCCCGGCAGATCAAGTTTTGTTATTTCCTCTCTCCTGTCAAAGAGAGTCTGGGTAACAGGCCCCACAGGATTCCATTCCTAGCTGTGCACAGTGTACCAGCACCCACTGGGTATCAATATGTCAAGTCAGCTGTTGTCCTCTGGAGTCTGGAGACATGGGTCTGCATTGCTCATGTACTACTAGTGAGGAACCTTTCACAGATGCCCGGTCCCTGGCCAGTGGATATATGACCTAGATCCTCTTCTTGCAGAAGAAATCTGGGTTCAGACATGTGGTGATAGGGTCTACATTCTCTGGATCTAGCTGTCCCAAGATGTGGCCTGAGGCCTAAAGAGTATACTGAGACCACTAGGTTACCAGCCTTGGAATGGGAATGATCAGATCCTCTAGGTCAACATCATGCCATAGGGGTAGACAAAGAAAAAGGTCAGGGAGCCTAGAGGCTCTGCCCACATAAGAGCACTAAGCAAGAATTCAGGAACTCAGGAAAGGGGCTTGAGGAACACTTTTTAGAAACTATCTAGTAGGTATGAAAGAAAAGATGTACACTTCTGGGCTGGCTATGAGACTTCCTACTATATCCTTAGGCTAGCAGGGACCACATAGCAAAGCTGCAGGCAGGTGGAACTGGCAGAGAGGATGGCCCACAACAGTGGTTCTTCAGCAGTGGATATTGGATGGTCAAGGTCTAGGAGAAAGTCCTGTGTACCCAGCAGTATCCACATTGTTCCTGGTCTTGACAGGTCTGATCCATAGGCATCAATCTGGGAAACATTGTAAGGAAGAAGGCTGGGGTCAAAGCAACTAGGGATAAAAAAGTAGGGAAAGAAAGAAAGAAAGGCAACTGAACACAATAGTGATGACACTTATACAGGGTCATCTGTCCTTCTTCATTGCAAGCTCCCTTAGGCAGTGTTGTCAACATAGGAAAAGTGTGCAAAGCCATCGGAATAGGTAACTGGACCCTTGGTGATGAGACCTGCAACACTAAGAATAAACCTCTGCAAGAGTGCAGGAAAACCTGGGAATCTTTACTGGAGCCCGCCAAGTGGAACAAGCCAAAAGCCCAGACAGGAAACTCCCAGAGCAGTCTTTTGCTAGTCCCACCCAGACATGGCCAGCACCAGGCTGCACAGACTGGGCTTTCTCTTGTACTGTATCCCATTTTCCCCTCATAAAGTTGTAACAAGGAAGGGAGTCTTGGAATTGGCAAAGAAAATCCCTCTAGGTCAGTTCTGACTTCTGTAGAAATTATAGAATGAAAATCAACCTTATTTATCTCTTGGAAATTATAGGAAATCATTTCAGGTTGTCATAAAGAAACAGCTCTCCTGGAACAATCCTGTTTGAAAAATAGGATACCCCACTCCTGGCTTTCTAGTCAGTAAAAACTACAACCAGCCCATCTTGGGCATCTGTCCTCACATACCTTCCTTCTTTCCTGGCATTCATACTGTGTGACTATGGAGAAATATTATGCATATCAAAATATCATCACAAGGCTATTTCCTTCACTACCCATAAATAGAGTAACTGACCCTTAAGGGACCTGGCGCTTGTCTTTCTAGAAAAGGAATGGGAAGCAGCTAAATTCAGTCTGGCTGCATATAGATCCACCATACTGACTTTTCAGTGAAGGAGCTAAGGAAATTTTACCCCCAAATATGACTACTTAACATAAAGATTATTTTGAGTTAAAGGCCATTCACAATCAGTAAAGCATTGGAAAAGGTTTTCCCTCTATCTGCATAAAACCAGACTGACCAGATCAGTGGATCAAAGGAGGCAAATGACTTCCTTCTCTCCCTCTGAATGCTAGCAGACTGGGCCCAAATAATTTAAAACACTATCCTGTCTCTCAGGTTAATTTACAAGTTAATCTGTTTCCCCCACCTTTTCCCCCACCTATTCATCCTCCCTAGCAACCACTAGTGGCACCCTTACTCCACATTCTACTTTTCTCTTACTAATCTGCCTTAATTATGAGTTGATCTTTCAGTGAATCAACCAAAGGAAAAGGATGAGTTTCACCATGATCCCTACACAGGGATGAGGGCAAATAGTTTTTGGGGGTGGCTGTGTCTCCATGTAACCTGCAGTTGGCTTCTGGGTAAACACAAACCCTACTGTCATATACACACACACTCACCCTATCAGAACAAACTCACTGCCAAACTGGTTTCAAAAAAAAGAAGATAGGAAGAAGGAAAACAAAAACCAATGTCCAAAGAGAAGAGATACAGTAAATAAATGATCCTGCTGCTTCCCCGAAGACAATAGTGAGTATCGGAAGTAGTTGCTACAAGGGAGAAATGGAAAGATCTGGCAGGATGTTGACTTTGCACACATGCAAAGGCCAGGGGGCATGTGTTTTGTGAAAGCAGAAAGAATCTATTTCATAAGAGCCTGGTGGGGTCAGAGAGAAGGCCAAAAGGAGACATACTTCTGCATTTTCATGCATTTGCATAGGAGGGAAGCATACACACAGGAAAAAAGGTCATCTCCATCTGACTTCAGGGAGGGATGGTAAGAGGTGTAGAAGGCAGAGGGATAACTTGGGATTAGGGAGCATACAATGGTAAGGACTTTTTCCTTAATTGGGAGAAATCTCTAGCCACAGTGGCATTACCAAGGTAGTCATGGGAGAAAGAAAATTAAAAATAAAAAGGGAAAAACTGTCAGGGCCCAGGACTGGCCAGGTCTTGGGCCCAGCTTAGGTAGGTTCTGGACGCCAACCACTAAGCTACCTTGCTCAGGAACAGTTTCTCGTAGGTGTTTGAGGGCTATCTACTTTAGCTGGAGAGAGAGAGACAGAGTATCTTAGAGAGAGTAAAGGTCTTCTTAAAACAGACAGCTCTTAGTCTTTAGCAGAGCTTGGTAATCTTCAGCAGAGAGATGCCATGCTGGCGTTCTGTAGGCAGGAGAGGAGACAGAGTCAAAGTAAGTGGATCCGTGATAGAATGCGCATGCCTCTTGACTGCCTTCTCCTCCAGCCTAATATAAGGCTGATCTCGTGCTTCTCAACACCACAGTCGTAGAGACTGCCAATTCACCAATGCTCTCATCTCGCGAGCTCACTCATGCTTGTTAGAACCAAATCTCTCTCCATGCCCTTTTCACCAAGGTGTTCTATTACAGGTGTTTCCTATAACTCTCACTCCTCTTAGCCATAGGCTATATGGGCTGCTACAAAAAACACATGTGTATTTACGGAAGAAAGTCAGTATATGTGTATTAACCCATCAATGTATGCATGAAGGAATGGGTGGGAGCTAAGTAGCCAGCCACATTTCCATGTATGCTTTGCCACAAGGGACTATAGAACCTAAGGCCTTTACCAAGTTAACCTGTTTAGAACCACCGGGCGCTCCTCCTGAACCTTGGAATCTCAACCTAGGATACTTATTGAGAAGTAACTACCAGAGACCCTTGTAGGTGACACAGGGCTACATCCTCCCAGTCTTCTCACATGACATGGTCCCTGTTAATTCCTGCTGCTCCCACAGTGGCTTACTATACCTTCTCTGGACTGCTGCTAAAGCAGTTTCCTCCTTCAGTGTGCTTGCCTTGGCTCCTTGGGTCTAGTCCTGGCTCCCTGAGAACAGAATAAAAGTAGTAACTTCAGGATAAGAGGAAAATCCAGATACTCAGCTTCCTTCAGGCTATGGGTCAATATCTCCATAAGAACAACCATTCTACCAAAAAGGACCAATATAATATTCACAGGTGCACCTAGAAAACTGGGTGCCTCATTATGGTAAATTCTTATTTTTTTTTTCACTCTTAATATCATTTTTATTTAATATGCACTACATGCACATGATGCAGGTAGGGAGAAAGTTTATGAATCCATGCATTAAAGACAAGACAGACCAGTACTACTGACAAACGTGCACTGAGCCAATTAGGATGTTGTTCAAAGTTCTTTATACTTAATGGTTTCCATGAAATTAAGTGCAGAAGCAGAAATGTGTATACATCCCAAAAGATCCTCTTCACTTAGTTTCCTGAGCTTTCTTTGCATTCTGTTTTTCTTTTGCCTTTTCTACTAGTGGAATTAACTGTTGGTGTTCTGCTAGCGTCTTTAATAGTTCCATAATGAAAGGCAAATAATTATGCTTCCTTCTGATATTCTCAATCTTGTATCTCTTTAATTTCTGTACTTCTTCTTCAATAAGCATCTGATTTTTGGCAACTTCTGACTGAATAGCACTTAACATACTATTACCCTGATCTGTATCCATGGGTTCCTCTGCAAGTTGTTTCTGTAACTCTGCTATCTTCTGTTCATATATCATTTTTCTGTCAGATACAATGGCCATTAGGTTAAATCGAATTTCCCCTTCACTATACTTCTGTATTCTTTTTTCTATCACTGGCCTTACTGCACTGATCCAATCATCTTGATTACATGCACCTAAATCAATCGGTCCTTCTCTTAATCCATCTAATTCATACAGTCTTCCATTGACAGGAACATAACTGACAAAATGAAAAGCATCTTCTTCTTTTGCTGATGTTTTTGTATCAAATTCAAACATTTGTTGTCTGGCAAAACTGTTGTGTACTTGTCGAATCACATCTGAATTGCTCAGTGCCAAGCCTTTCATAGCTGCATCAAAACTTTGTGAAAATTCTTTAAACTCTGATAAAGTCTCTCCTAAATGGACATCTTGATGAGTGCAGTTCAACAACACACTTACTATGGCTTGAGTAGCACAAGCATTATTAATTACCTGCTTAGCGAAAAATATTGTGTCAAGTCTGGAGTCCTGAACCACAGAGCCTGCTGGTTCTTCTCCTGGCTGCCATTTAGTTTTTCAAAATTTTCAGGCTCTAAACTCCATATTTCTTCTACTTGGGCTCCTCGGCAACCGAATCCTTTAATGAGCTCGGTGAAGACGCCGGGGTCGCTTTCCATGAGGCACCACTCCCCGGCATTACCCGTCATGGCCCCGGCCACACGCCGCCCCGCTCCACCTCTCGGTCCGGCCGCCCCCCACAACAGCTGCTACAGACCACGGATCTCGGCAAAATCGCCGCCGAGCTCATCAACCCCACGTCACCCTGCCTACTTCCCGACAGCCGTAAATTCTTATTTAAAGCTCATGAAGGAATGATGTATCAATTGATAAATTGATACATCTGCTTTTCTTTTTTTCTTTTCTTTTCTCTCTCTCTCTCTTTTTTTTTTTTTTTTTTGAGACAGTCTCAAGCTGTTGCCCTGGGGAGAGTGTCACAGCTCACAGCCTCACACTCTTGGGCTTACGTGATTCTTTTGCCTCAGCCTTCCAAGTAGCTTGGACTACAGGCGCCCACCACAACACCCAGCTATTTTTTGTTGCAGTTGTAATTGTTGTTTTGCTGGCTTGGGCTGAGTTTGAACCCGGCACCCTCAGTGCACGTGGCTGGCGCCATAACCACTGTGCTACGGAAACTGAGCCACACATCTGCTTTTCTTTTTATTTTCTTTTTTGTAGAGACAGAGTCTCACTTTATCGCCCTCAGTAGAGTGTCGTGGCATCACACAGCTCACAGCAACCGTCAACCCCTGGGCTTAGGCGATTCTCTTGCCTCAGCCACCTGAGTAGCTGAGACTACAGGCACTCACCACAAGGCCCAGCTATTTTTTTGTTGTTGTTGTTGCAGTTTTGCCAGGGCCAGGCTTGAACCCGCCACCCTTGGTTTATGGGGCCAGTGCTCCACCCACTGAGCCACAGGCGCCACTCACATCTGCTTTTCTTGATGAATATTTTCACATACTTACCTTCTATTCTTAGAGCCTGAGAAAAACACACACCTTTACCCTCACTACCTGAAAGAAAAAATAAACCTCCACTTTTAGGGCTTGAATCCAATTTGGACGTTTCTTGGAATTTTTTTTTTTTTTTGGTAGAGACAGAGTATCACTTTATCGCCCTCAGTAGAGTGCTGTGGTGTCACACAGCTCACAGTAACCTCCAACTCCTGGGCTTAGGTGATTCTCTTGCCTCAGCCTCCCGAGTAGCTGAGATCACAGGCACTCGCCACACGCCCAGCTATTTTTTTCTTGCAGTTTGGCCTGGGCTGGGTTTGAACCTGCTATCCTCAGTATATGGGACCGGCGCCCTACCCACTGAGACACAGGTGCCACCCTTCTTCTTCTTCTTCTTCTTTTTTTTTTATAAATCTATAAAGGCTGGAGAGTCCTGGGAGGTCAAATTGGTTAGTATTTCTGAAGCAAGAATGCCACCAAGTGGACAATTTTGAGTATGGCTTCCAGATACTCCATGTATACTTATGGGAAGCCTCAGAGAGGGGAGAGTAGGTTTGGGGAAAACAAGGAATTCTTGGGCTGCACCTGAGGACCCCAGGGTGACTTCAGGTATAATGAGAAAGAGATAGAAGCAGGCCTGGCCACCAATGAGGCCCAGGCTGCAGGGCCTGTGTGCCTTGGGAGGCCATTCAGACAAGGCCTCTGTGGCCACCATATTTGGGAAGCTTGAGCAGAATCTAATGCAGGGCACTTGCCTCAAGATCAGTGGTTCTCAACCTTCCTAATTGCCGCATTGTTACAAATTGAACAAAAGAGTTGCGACCCACAGGTTGAGAACTGCTGCTCTAGATCTTTGTTACTGGTAAGGGGCACAGTTAGAAGAACAGGGACACTGTCCTGGGAGTTAAGACCACAAGGAAATCTGGACCTAATGGTCCATCTGGAAAATTTAGGTTCAGGGTGGCACCTGTGGCTCAAAGAAGTAGGGCGCTGGCCCCATATGCCGGAGGTGGAGGGTTCAAACCCAGTCCCGGTCAAAAACTGCAAAATAAAAAAAAGAAAAAAAAAAGGAAAATTTAGGTCCAGCCATGTAAAGAGAAGGGGCCAACAGCCACAATGTTAGGGATGATATCTCTTGTAAAGAGGATGAATATCTTGATTACTGGGCACTAGAATAAAATAAGAAACAGTAACAGAGGTGCATGGCAGCTCAAGTTCTGTGTGATTTCCTCTCACTCCTGTCAAAGAAAGTCTACATCACAGGCTACACAGGATGCTATTCTGAGAATCTTCTCTCATTGTGCAGAGTGTGCTGGCACCCACTGGGCATCAATAGGTCAAATTGGCCCTTGTCCTCTGGAGTTAGAGGACTTGAGTCTGTATTGTCATATGCTACAGTTGGGAAACATTTCAGAGATGTCTCATTCTCTGGCCTCTAGTGGTATGACTCAACCTCTCACACATGGAGGTCTATGTTTTGTGAGTCTGGCTGTGCTAGAGCATTGGCCCAGGCCAGTGGAGCACACTGAGACCATCATACTTACAGCTATGGGTTGGGACATTATGAAATCCTGTAGTTGCACACCCTAACTGGTGGATTGGTAGAGAAAAAGTCAGTTGGCCAGAAAGGTTGGCCCATTTTTCTCCTCAGCAATAATTCAGGAAACTCACCAAGGTGAAGTATTGCAGGACAAGGAATGGCTTTCAGAAACCATCCAGTAGGTATGAAAGAAAAGGAGTGCAATCCTGGGTCTTGATACTTCCTGCCATATCCTTGGGCTAGCACAGGTAGCACAGCTCCAGGCAGATGAGAACTGACAAAGAACATGACCCAAAGCTATTCTCCAATAGCAGGCTACAGGTGTAAAAGGTCTATGAGAAAGGCCTGTGTGACCAGCACTATTCACGTTGTTTATGGCCATGGCAGGTCTCACCGATATGTGTGAGTCTAAAAACATGAGGAAGAAAGAGAATGGGCTAAAGCAGAAGGGAAAAACAAGGTGGAAGAAATTAGGACAAAAAGGCTAATCAACCAAACAGTGGTGACATTTACACAGGGTTACCCAGCCTCTTTGACTTAAAGCTCCCTGGCCAAGCACAGGGCTGAGAGCAGATATAGAGAAAACCAGGAAATAAGGGATATCTCCCCCCCCCCACAAAAAAAAAAGAAAAGAAAAGAAAGGGATATTCTTCAGCATTCTCTTGAGGCTTTCTGGAATTTCAGGCAAGGTAGCCATAGAAGAGAAGTCTGCAGAGGTATGGGCTCATATGATTGCTCCCTTGACAAAGAGACTTGCAAAACTAAGGAGAGGCCTCTTCAAGAGCGCACTAAAATCCTGACACAAGTAAGGCAACAGGAAAAGGGGGAGAGGCCAAATAGCATAGCCCAGACTGGAGGGTTCCCTCTCCCATCTTTCCCAGACTGGAGGGCTCCCTCTCCCATCTTTCCCAGACATGGCTGCCATCAGGATCAGTATTCTGGGATTTTGGTATAGGACCTGCCATGTATGCTGGCTATCATGGTGCTTGCACAGTCCAATCTACCACAGTTCGGCTCGGCGCCCGTAGCACAGTGGTACGGCACTGGCCACATACACTGAGGCTGGTGGGGTCAAATCCAGCCTAGGCCAGCTAAAACGACTATGACAACAGCAACAAAAAATAGCCGGGCATTGTGGCAGGCACCTGTAGTTCCAACTACCTGGAAGGCTGAGGCAAGAAAATTGCTTAAGTCCAAGAATCTGAGGTTGCTGTGAGCTGTGACACCACCACACTCTACTGAGGGCAAGACCTTTTACATCTGTAGCCTGCTATTGGAGAATAGCTGTGGGTCATTGAGATTCTGTCTCCAAAAAAAAAAAAAAACTACCACAGTTCACACTTCCCTCAGGCCTACAGAGAGCTGTGATCCATCCGTGGCCCCATCTCATGTCCTCCTGGACCACCACTGCACTTCCAGGCCTCTCTTCCCCAGGAAGTCATAGGCAGGGCTTTCCAGGATCACCAAACCAGTTCCTCTGGATGGCAGTATTGCTCCACAAAT